GCCCAGTCGTGGGCGGGACACCTGGTCATGTCCATCTCCCAGAGCAGGAGCTGGCAGGGAGCTGCCTCAGAGCCCTGAGGACTCAGAACAGAGCAGCCAGGAGTCAGTCAAGTCCAGCATGAACCTGGAGCCCCACCCTAAACACTGAGGAAAGTCACTGAAATTGAAAATGTTAAATGCAGTCAGACGCAGTGGCTCAGGCCTGTAATCCCAGTACTTTGGGAAGCAGAAGCGAGATGACTGCCTGAGCCCAGGGGTTTGAGACCAACCTGGGCAACTTAGCAAGACCCTGTCTCTACAATAAATCAAAAAATTAGTCAGATGTGGTAGCGCATGCTTGCGGTTCCAGCTACTTGGGAGATTGAGGCGGGAGGACCATTGTCTGAACCCAGCAGGTCAAGGCTGCAGTAGCCATGATCGTGCTACTGTATTCCAACCTGGGAGAGAGTGAGACTCTGACTCAAAAAGAAAAGAAGAAAATGTTAAAAAGCAAAGTAGAAAGGGTCAGAGATAAACCCTTCTGATGATTCCCCAAATACTCACCAAGATCTAATGCGTGCTGGGCTCAGTGCCAGGCCCAGGGGGCTCAGAGACAAACTATACATGGTTCTTACCTTTAAAGAGCTTCTAGGCTTTTGTTGCTGTTTTGAGTACGAATCTCACTCGGTCCCCAGGCTGAAGTGCAGGGGCACAATCATGGCTACCACAGCCTAGAACTCCTTGGCTCAGGTGATCCTACCGCCTCAGCCTCCCAAGTAGCTACAACTACAGACACGGACCACTACGCCTGGCTAATTTTTTTATTTATTGTAGAGGCAAGATCTCGCCAAGTTGCCCAGGTTGGACTCTAACTTCTGGGCTCAGGCAGTCCTCTCACCTCCGCCTCCCAAAGTGCTGGGATAACAGGCATGAGCCAGCACACCCAGCCTAGTCGTAATTTTTTTTTTAAGCTAAATTGTCTTTATGTGCAGATGACACAACCTCAAATATAGAAAACCCTAAAGACTCCACCAAAAAACTCTTAGAACTAATTTTAAAATTCTGTAAGTCTGTAGAATAAAAAATAAACATACAAAAATCAGTTATCCAGCAGGGCTCGGTGGCTCAGCCTGTGATCCCGCGCCTTTGGGAGGCTGAGGTGAGTTGACTGCCTGAGCCCGCGGGTTCGAGACCCGCCTGGGCAGCGAGACCTCATCTCTACAATAAATAAAAAAATCAGCCGGGCGTGGTAGCGC